TTCAGGCTCTCGTTGGCAAGAACACCGGAACAAACAACACATTGAGGACGTGACTCATCATTTATAGGAATACACGTGGAACCAAGCTTTATAAATTCTTCGCTGCACTTCCGCTTATAAGGATGGTTTGAGTGATGTATTTATATTCGATGAGGGTGAGGAGATGAGTCTTTTGTCGGGCGTTGATTCTCACTGCTTGAAGACGCAAAGATGTCTGAAGGTGCATGCGGTGTTCTGTTTTCACCTAATTTCTCCGTTGTATCTTCCGCTCGCGAATTTTTTGGAGTATTCTTCAGTAACCAGTTTGTCAACATTATTTGTGACTAAAACTACTTTAAAATTCTTAACCCAGCTAAATTTTGAATTTAATCAAGAATATCTTACAATAACAAATGTAACAGCACCCTAACTATTTAATTTAGAATGAACAAATTTCATCATCTGTCTTTATCAAGCAATTCCACACGACTACTGCTAACCTCGCATTGCTACCAAACAATACAATTGTGTAAGATAGTAGGATAATACCAATTATCAATGCAAACATCTACGTAATGAATGTTTTCCCGATTTTCGATCCTGGCAAAATTCTTCCGCTTTATACTCTACCATTGCAAAATTATTGGTTTTTATTTCAATAATGGTTTTGCGAGTTCGCGCCTATAAACCGGTTTATATGTTTCAAACTATCATTTTAATGTTCAATACATTCAACAACCTTTTATTTACATGTGCCTATAGAAAAGTTTGGCCTAGTCTATCACAGCTATTTCTAGATTAATTTTTGATTACTGCATTTAGAATAAAACTCCGACAGAGCAACATTATTATTGAGTTATTTGATTAGGACTTATATTTACCAAAACACAATTAAAAACTAACAAACAACACTCGAAAATCGCCAAAACAAAATAATATTCACAACCACGAAAGACTGTCTGAATGGCAAAAGTATCTGAGCGCTTCTGAAACGTTTATTGTTACTTCAATTTTGCACTTATTCTGATTGGCCAATGTTACGGCAGTAAATAAGGAAGTGTATACACGGGGAAACATTCATTATTATAATCAGAGATTTATAAAGTTGTTATACATAAATACGCTACACAGACGCGATGCTCAAATTTATGGAAAATTTAAATTGTTTCGCGACCCAGAGCGGAGGGCTTCGCGACCCAACCCTGTAGTTGCGGACCCCTGTTGTAGTGGATGCCCCAAATTCCTGTACATCTATAATACCCATTGCCTGAAACAGGGTCGGCGAATTATTGACCCATGACAATCCTTGTTTTTTATGACCCACCAGGAATGTATACAAAGACATATTAAAATTTCAAAGGCAAAAAGTGCTTTAATCTTGTTTTATAGTTTATTTATTGCTATTAAAATCGGGCTTTATTTAATCTAACAATCAGTGGACTATTATAGAAGTTCCGTTATACGGACATGCAGCTACTGGCATCAAAACTATTACTGATTCTTTTCATTTTTCAAAACGTGTCTTGTAAAAGGGCACCCTTTACCTAGGTACATGAACCAAGCAGAATATTTTTGTGGGTAAAATCGCAAAGTGAATTTATCGATACCATATATTGTTTTGGCTTTCACAGATGTATTAAATGAATTACTGGTTAAAAAAAAACACAAACCTGGTTAAGATATATTGAGATTTCACTTCGTAACAAAATTGAAATTGGGAAGAAACTTTATGGACACCCTGTGCTTGCAAATCAAATCGACTAAAACTCACTACTACAGAAATCTGAGATGAGAATGGAGCTGGATAGAAGCGACTTAAAGCGTTTGCAACTCGATTAATAATATAATTCTCTCAAGGGTGAATTACTCTCCAAACTTTTCCAAAACTATTTACGGTGTCATAATGAACATTTTCCAGACATTTATGTGTAAAGCTAAATGCTACGCAATACCAGCGGGGATTATAACACTTGCAAAACAAAAATTTAAGCGAAAGCTTTCTAACAATGCAAATTTGAAAAAAAAAAGGTGAAACCCACCGTCAGGGGAGGGCCACTGGGTCAGTCGTCTGGGCAGCGCGTTGTAAGGGGAAGCAGATATATGAGTTTGAACTTATACATGTGAGTTTGTTAAACAGTTTGATTTAATTAATAATAATACAAACATTTCACTCTTACTTGAAAATGTTTTTACCTTACATCGAGGTACAGAGAAAAACAGTATTTGAGTCCCTGATTATGCCATTTCGAAAGGAGTTTCAAAAAAATCACAAAAACAAAAGTTCTAAAATCAAAGTATTTGCATTTCAATCTGTAACTAACTAAATTTTAATCTAAACAAAGCAATGTATTACCAAAATACCATATATTTGGCATTTTAAATTTTCAATCCTAGGCGGAGTTTTCACTCATTCACCAATAAAATGAAAAGCAATCGAACAATGGCATTTCCGCTGTCTTCATAATGAATTGCCCAATTGTATAAATCGTTCCATCAAGAATATATTCAATGTTTTGTAAAAATACGTTTCAACCATTCAACAAGCAGTCAGTCCATGGTTAATATTGATCCAATGAAAAGCAGTTAAAGTTAATAAAGCGAATGTTTTATAAATGCCAAAATATGTACAGCAAGGGAGTTTTACGCATCGACTGTTAAATTTCATTGATAATATGTAGGCATGATTTTTGACTTTCATATCTGACAAAGTACAGCATTTAGCGTGATCGAAGAATGCCAGTTCCTCATTCCTTGGTAACTTTCGTTTGGATCTTTGGCTACGTTGATGAACACATTTTTACTAAAGGTGGTAATATATCCGTTTTCCCATTGAGTGAATGAACCATTTTTTCCAAATGTGTTTGTCTGTAACAAAAATATGACATGAAAATCCTGATAAAACAAGAAAACAATTCTGAAAATGTATGGACACAGGGGCAAACGAAGTAGTATCAAATCTTCCACAGTACCTGTAGTATTCCATTATCTTTTAATTTTAATAGATAAATACCATTATTTTTTAATTTTGACAATTAAAAAAAGTAATAGCCTTTTAGTGACAACAACAATCTTTAACCAATTGGCCCAGTAGTTGATAAGAAAAGAATTTTTTCTGAACAACAACAAAAATACTAACAACATCAACAATTTAAGAAAACGATCCATATGTACATTTCGTGTCCAATAACAACAAATTGAGAAAAACTCTAATGTATGCTTTCCAAATATATAAACAATTCAGCTGTATAACTTGGTATTTCGTGTTAAGAATTAAATTATCGATCATAAACAAATCCAATACAAATAAATAGTTCAATAACAGTGAACAACAAAAACGCGAACGAATGAATATCACCCTGATAATTTGGTATCATTTTTGTTGAGTTTTTATCAAATACTGATATTCGTTATAATTTAATACAATTACTGACCTACAAGGCTTTCAATCGCCTGTACTTTATCAAAACTGTAACACCATGAATACAAGAAAAGCGAAAAAACACTCAGGCATGTAATCCTCCGTAGTATCGGTACGGGGCCGTAGTCTTCCCGAATTGATTGACCATCAGATCGTCCTAAACGAGCGACCGCCACATGGTGCGTAAGTTTTGATTTTTATGACGTCATTGCAATGAACCCCACAGAACCTTTTAAACTAAATTAATAGTAAGTAATGGTTTCCTAGAATATTTTTTAATTTTTAAGCCACTGAAAATTTCAAAGCAGTCGGTCCAGTATTAGGAGAAACTCGATTTTTTTTACAATAAGAAAAGTATGCGGAAACGATTATTGTACATTTCGTGTCCAATAAATAACCAGTTCTCACCGTGATATCATATGTAAGGCCGGTCCAGAACGATACCCTCCCGTTCTGGGGAAGCCCGTTGCGTATCATTTTGTTAATCGCGTCAAATTCTTCCTCATTCCTCATAATGGGAAGAGTCGATCCGTGTTGTATACAGAAATCCTCTGCACCCGTGAATGTCATAATTGAAGCACGATGTCTCACAATCCAGAATATCACAGCGTCGTCGGCAATCCATTTTCCTAAAATAGAATGAAGATGTTTAATTTTACCCGTGGTAGCACTGTTTATTTGAACCAAAATTTCTTGGTAAATGTTATGTAAGAGACAATGACTCTGGAGAATGAATAGAATGAAGAAGAAATGAAGAAATAGAATGAAGATGTTTAATTTTACCCTTGGTAGCGCTGTTTATTTGAATCATAATTTCCTGGTAAATGTATTAAGTCAGCGACAATGGTTAGAATCAGGCTATGAATTTTCCTATGCGACGATTGCTCACGTTTTTCGCTATGAACAAAGCTTCATACAACCAGCCGTTGTGGGGGCTATCGAAGACTACCGGAGGTTCTGATATTTGTAATTGCCAAGTTAAACCGTAAGAGCTGCTGGATCCGGCCAGAGACTATCGGTGGTTCTGAAATTTTTAACAGCTAGATAGTCCGTTTTTCAATTGTTAAGTTAGACCGTAAGTTAGTTGGACTGGTCGGATATTGGCTCATGTAATGTCTTGATAATCAGCAAACCCGTTTTTCTATTTTTTTTTATTTGCTCCAGATGTTAGGCGACCGCAGCATATGATTAATGTAGCCTACACAGCAGCTGACGATTATATAGCATTATATTTGAAGTTCCGGAATTTAATGTTAATGCAGCTTACGTATTCATTCTCGAAAATGTGGGAGTATCTTGTTAGTCCAAAGAGCCCGTTATTTTTTTCAAATCACATACATTGCATCGATTCGAAGGTTTGAAGATAATCAAGTCAATCAAGGTTACTTTCAATAATATTATTGCCAGGTTGTATAGTTCTGTACAAACTTTTCTATTGTTGCGTATTGTTAGTGACTGATAATTTTAAGTTATATGAAGTGTGACATCTGCCAGTCGATCAGGGGGGTTCGCACGAACCTGTTCTTGGTATGTCATAATATTCAAAAGCAAAGCTCGTCACGTTAATGCAGCTTACGAATCAATACCAATCTACAGTACAAACCTAGAGTATAACCAGAGACGATTGAGTTCAGTTTTTTCGAAAAAGCCTCAAATTTTTCCATAATTTGGGATTCATTCTTTTGGTTGGCGATCATCAGTTTTTGGTCTTCAATTATTGCGTTAAGTTTTTCTATGTAGTTGGTCCGGTCTTTCGAGTATTGATCTTTGTTTAATGATGCTGTAGAAATAAGATTTCGAATTAAAAACCTAGCTGACGTCATTGGGTATATTGCATATTTCCGAAATATTATGGTTTCTATGGCAACTAATCGTTTAGAGTTCCGTTCGGATTCAAATAATTATATTATTACACTTGTACATGCCTTTGTTTTTCCCTTCCATTAATGCAAAAACGTTAGATTTGAGAAAATACCCCCGCCCGCCACTAATTATCCAGTATTGGCTAGGTTTTGGGAATAATTTTAATTTCCAGCGCAACCTGCATTCATCCAAACCCCAACTGTATATTTACTACTTCTCTTATTTTGATGGGTGGAATAGGCGTTTTTATAGCGGGGGCTTTGTAAAAAATATCCAAACTCGAATAGACCACAATTCATACTAAAGAATTAATCTTACTTATTGTCCATCCAATCGCTAATCCAACTACGAAGACTATCAGTACTGGAATAGCAAATGCCAGCTTCAATGTTCGTTCGCCTAGTAACAAAAGTTGAAAAGAATTTGTGAGATGGAAAACCACGAATTGTTAATATCAAAAGATTTCTAAGAAAATTTTTAATTCAATAAAAAAATTACGAAAGTAATCACAAATAGGCTTTATTCAAACTTTGTATATCGAGCTTCAGATCTTTATACATAGTAGAATGGAAAACTTTACAAAAAAGTTATGAAGTCGGTATATCTGGGTGGTCCAAACCCAGGCACGCGGGCCACATGTGGCCCGCCGCTTCATTATCGGTGGCCCGCGTCACATTCGGAGAGTATTCAAATAATCTCGTTTTCACAGCCTAAATTGCAAGGAATTCCCAGTAATATTTATCCGACTCTCCGAGTTGATTTTACCTTAATTCCAAGTGAAACCGACCCGCTTTTCCCTGTAGAAAGTACACGACTTGCATGTATACTTGACATGGATGTTCGTGTAGAAGCGTGATAGAATTTTCCTGTATATGCAGTTACAGGGAATTCCGTGGCAGCAATTCAAACTTGGAATTCAGTGTATTCTCTAAGTAACACCCAATCTTATGACAGATTAACTAAAACAAACTTAGAGAAGTTTATTCTCAAAAACGAATCACCAAAAAATTGAACATAAAAATCACAGGCACAGACAGGGGGTGTGGTAACGACCCCAAAAATTTCAATATGTTTTTAGGTGATTTTTAAGCATATTTTCCATCACTATATGTCATCGAAATAACAAATTTTTCAGCATGCGCCAAGACTTAAAACAATTTCAAATACGACCATGAACTCAAGCTAGAAATCCTAATATTTGACCCCCATCTCCCCAAAAATATATTGTTTTACGGTTTCCAAATGGTTACGGACCAAATCTAAATACAGTACATTATATTATTCAAGTTTGATTTTGAAAATTAGTGGATTTCCCAAAATCAGGTTTTCGTGGGAAATTTTAACAAAAAACAATCAAAAATATTTTCATTTTATTATAGTCTGGAGCGATTTCAAGTGTTTTGATACTCCAGTGGCGTATTCCTTGCATTCTAAGTAAAATTTCTTGAATAATTTAATACCAAAATATGTTGAATAACTTTTTGGCAAGCAAAAGGACTGAAAATTAATCAAAAAAAGTGTTTTTTTCTTCTAGATTTCCTACAAGTCGATTTAGGTACTAATATAGAGAGTCACCCATCTCTCGCTCATTGTACCGCCATTGATAATGAACGTTCACAAATTCAATATGCATATTGAATACGTTAACGTCCTTTACCAATGACAGTATTATGAGCGAAGGATAGGTGAATGGATATGAGGACTTACTTGTAAAATCTACTTGGACAGTAGTTGAAAATCTAGAAAAATACAACTTGTTTGATCGATTTTGAGTTTTTTAATTCAAGATGTCTTACATAGAATACAAGGAATATAACTATGAAATATCAAAACCCTAGAGAGAAATTGCACCAGACTATTACAATGAAAGTTTTCATACAAGTTTCTACAAAAAATAAAACGATTTTAGGGAAATCCCCCACTTTCACAAAATCAAACTTTAAAAAGAAACACGGAAACTAGATAAAAAGGAAGACAACAGGGAAACTAGATAAAAAAATAACTGTGAGTTTTTTCGTTACACAGTGTATTCGAAATTATATATAGTGAGTTCGCATATTTTAGAGGTTGCATATTTTCTTCAGCAACCTCCGAACCTCGGGGTTGATCTCATGTCAAATTTTCTTTTCTTCAGTTTTACCGTCTGCTTACTGAAATATCTGAAAAGGAAAGAGGTCATAAATCCTAAGCAAACATATATGCACAATTAGCAAGTGCCAGCCAATATTCAGGCAGGTGTTGACAACTGCATTGTGTCCAATAAAAAGTCAGAGAAACACGCACATTTCGTCTGTTTTTAACTCCATATAAAGTTCTAGTATAATGCTTACTATTCGGCACAACTAATCATCCTGCACAGCAGTCAAGTTAGAATCTGAGTAGTTGTATGCAAAAAAAATATTTACTTACTACCATAAAGTTGTCATAAAATGCTCAATAGAAGTTGTTTCAACCTACCTTTGAATGAACTCAAGAATAGAAGCAGTCTTCTTTGGGTACGCCAAAGGCAAAAATATGCCATGATTACATACGTTATTCCATTAAAAAATCCTCCACTGTTGCCAATATTATCCTCTCAATAGACACATATTAAGAATATTAGAATGTCAGAGAACACCCTGTAAAAAGGAAAGTGTACTTAGCTCAAACCCAAAGCCTACATATTTGGAGAGACTTACAACGCAGTTCTATTGACAAACTTCAAGATAAGATGGTGGTCCGTTTTGCTTAAGAACAGGAAAAGCACAGTGTGAACAGCAAGAAATGAGTCTCGAGTGTATAACATGAGTCATTGCTCAAATTTGACCGATGCTAGCACAATTGGCAAGGTTATTAATGGTAATATTAGAGATTTAGGAAACTTAATATCGAAGTTATATGCTTTGTGAGTGTCCCTCTTGATTTTTTGTTTATTATGACCACATATGGAAAAAGCACTTCTCTCTGTAATCCACTACGTACACATGCATTATTGGTAACACTTACCTGCAGACATTGATCGATTTTTCGTCCAGATTATTGAGCAACTCATTTTGCCCTGCCTTGTAGATGAAATGTTCGTCTAGAAATCCACTCTCAAATAGGAAGGGCCACCCTGTCTGAATGTCTGCAATCGGCAAATTGTTACAGTAGTGAGTAGACTATTGATATCACGTCTGTGTTCCGTGTGATGCTTTATCATAGAGTATCTCCCGCAATAACAGCATCTTTTACATATTTCTTATACTGTAATTGTAACATGCTCTAATTGACATGCTTGACAATCATGCTAGAAGTTCTAAAAGATTTCTGACAAGTTGTTAATGAACAATTTAAATCCATTTTTGGAGCATTTACATATACTATAGGCCTATAAGTCATCTTAACTTTCTGACATTATATAGCTATCACATAGTTCGGTAATATACTGGTATCGACTACCCATCAGTATAACTCAAACCTCCTACATTGATCAACTTCCCCATTAAAACGGAAGAACTCGCCTTCTTGGTCAATGGCGGATCGCGGTTCGTTACAGTCAGTCGCTTTATCGCTTGCCGCATACGTTTTGGCGCGAGAAAAAAGCGTCTGTGATTGGTTTGTTTAAAAACGAGAGAATACAGTAGCCAATAGAAAAGTAAAAGAGATGACGTACAGTGAAATCCCATCGTTCTTTCAGGAATTCCAAGTATATTTTACGGCGTCACAAAAACAGGGAAGTGAAATGTATTTTTAACTGCCATTTCCTTGTTAAAGCTACAAAAATTTTTAACAGTGAAGTTGAAATGGAAAACGTCGCTGGATGTCTGTTACTGATTTTGAATTTCCGCTGGGTTCTATAGGACCTGAAATTTCGTTGTTTTATTGGACAAGAAACGGACCTATGGATCGTTTCGTTATTAAATTGTAGTTCTTATTGGTGTTTTCCTTTTTGTTGTTATCGTACGAAAAAATCGCTTTTTCAGTGATTAATAAGAGTTCCGCGCCGTCTAAAAAGGCATGTTTAGACTTGTCTGGAAGGTTACGTAATTGTCTTTTTCGAGAGACGAGTCGGTTTTGCTTGGATTGATAACCAAATACCAAAACGAAACTTTTTTCAGGAAAAAAAAAAAAAATTCTGTTATTTTCAACACAACACGGTTGAGCGAATAGCACACGCGTCTCGAGAGACGGCTGGCATAAAGCGGCCAAATCACGCCTCCCAATGAAATATAAGTGAAGGTTTTCGCACGTTTGAACAAAAAGTCATAACAATTTTTAGGAGGGGTTATACAAAATGTCCCAGGAAGATGGCGGCTACACAGGGTTAAAGATTGTATTTTTAGCTAGAAGACCATAACTTTTTTTTATTTCCAAACTTTCTGTGGGCTTTATTTGATTTGCTTTTCACTTCGAAATTTTGTGTGATGACCTCTTGAAAATGTAAAAAAAAATTTGCAGCCTTTCTTCGACCCCTTTCGTGATACTCTTGCTACGCGGAAGTCGTAAGTTGACCGTACTGTTACTTCATGAGACAAGTTAGACTACTGCTTCGCATGTGTATCCGAGTCCATTTATTTCGGTCGGTCTCTCATTTTAAATAAGGGGAAATTTTCATGGAACTTCCTGCTCAGCTAGGACATCTCCAGCACCACTTTTTTGGTTTTTAATTTTTTGTTGATTACCTGAATCGGCATCTTTGATCTCGTTATGACTTTCAGCATGTTTCTCTTCATCTTCAACGTCAAACGAACCTGCTAAAATATTAGTAAACACATTTGTCAATTTGAAAAGCAGGAAACAAGAAAGAAATTTCAAAAACAGAGTTTCCAAAAGCGAATAGCGGAGCAGATAATTGATTAACTAAAAATATTTCAGGGGAGGCAGGACAGTCTCCCGTTCGTTATTTTGCCTGCAAGCCCTATATTCGCAATCATAACAACATGCAGTGAGTAGGGTATTCAGTCAATGTTAAGAACTCGAAATGTGAATGTTCAATAACGTACTTAAAATGAGTGGTAAAGTGAATTTGTAAGGAAATATTACATGGCATTAACTTCTGTAAGTAGGTGAAATTCAATGTAATTTATTGCATCCCCCGTCATGATGCTAAATGGTCGTGACGTCACATTTTAGTATGACTACGTCAACAAGTTTTTATTTTTATTTCTTCTTAATCTACCTTTATTGCATCCCAAGAGACACTAAAATACTTTTTTTTTTCAAACTTTTTCAAATTAAAAAAAAAATTCTGTTATTTTCAACACAACACGGTTGAGCGAATAGCACACGCGTCTCGAGAGACGGCTGGCATAAAGCGGCCAAATCACACTTCCCAATGAAATATAAGTGAAGGTTTTCGCACGTTTGAACAAAAAGTCATAACAATTTTTAGGAGGGGTATACAAAATGTCCCAGGAAGATGGCGGCTACACAGGGTTAAAGATTGTATTTTTAGCTAGAAGACCATAACTTTTTTTATTTCCAAACTTTCTGTGGGCTTTATTTGATTTGCTTTTCACTTCGAAATTTTGTGTGATGACCTCTTGAAAATGTAAAAAAAATATTTGCAACCTTTCTTCGACCCCTTTCGTGATACTCTCTTGCTACGCGGAAGTCGTAAGTTGACCGTAGTGTTACTTCATGAGACAAGTTAGACTACTGCTTCGCATGTGTATCCGAGTCCATTATTTCGGTCGGTCTCTCATTTTAAATAAGGGGAAATTTTCATGGAACTCCCTGCTCAGCTAGGACATCTCCAGCACCAATTTTTTGTTTTTTAATTTTTTGTTGATTACCTGAATCGGCATCTTTGATCTTGTTATGACTTTCAGCATGTTTCTCTTCATCTTCAACGTCAAAAGAACCTGCTAAAATATTAGTAAACACATTTGTCAATTCGAAAAGCAGGAAACAAGAAAGAAATTTCAAAAACAGAGTTTCCAAAAGCGAATAGCGGAGCAGATAATTGATTAACTAAAAATATTTCAGGGGAGGCAGGACAGTCTCCCGTTCGTTATTTTGCCTGCAAGCCCTATATTCGCAATCATAACAACATGCAGTGAGTAGGGTATTCAGTCAATGTTAAGAACTCGAAATGTGAATGTTCAATAACGTACTTAAAATGAGTGGTAAAGTGAATTTGTAAGGAAATATTACATGGCATTAACTTCTGTAAGTAGGTGAAATTCAATGTAATTTATTGCATCCCCCGTCATGATGCTAAATGGTCGTGACGTCACATTTTAGTATGACTACGTCAACAAGTTTTTATTTTTATTTCTTCTTAATCTACCTTTATTGCATCCCAAGAGACACTAAAATACTTTTTTTTTTCAAACTTTTTCAAAATAAAAAAAAAATTCTGTTATTTTCAACACAACACGGTTGAGCGAATAGCACACGCGTCTCGAGAGACGGCTGGCATAAAGCGGCCAAATCACACTTCCCAATGAAATATAAGTGAAGGTTTTCGCACGTTTGAACAAAAAGTCATAACAATTTTTAGGAGGGGTATACAAAATGTCCCAGGAAGATGGCGGCTACACAGGGTTAAAGATTGTATTTTTAGCTAGAAGACCATAACTTTTTTTTATTTCCAAACTTTCTGTGGGCTTTATTTGATTTGCTTTTCACTTCGAAATTTTGTGTGATGACCTCTTGAAAATGTAAAAAAAATATTTGCAACCTTTCTTCGACCCCTTTCGTGATACTCTCTTGCTACGCGGAAGTCGTAAGTTGACCGTAGTGTTACTTCATGAGACAAGTTAGACTACTGCTTCGCATGTGTATCCGAGTCCATTCATTTCGGTCGGTCTCTCATTTTAAATAAGGGGAAATTTTCATGGAACTCCCTGCTCAGCTAGGACATCTCCAGCACCAATTTTTTGTTTTTTAATTTTTTGTTGATTACCTGAATCGGCATCTTTGATCTTGTTATGACTTTCAGCATGTTTCTCTTCATCTTCAACGTCAAAAGAACCTGCTAAAATATTAGTAAACACATTTGTCAATTCGAAAAGCAGGAAACAAGAAAGAAATTTCAAAAACAGAGTTTCCAAAAGCGAATAGCGGAGCAGATAATTGATTAACTAAAAATATTTCAGGGGAGGCAGGACAGTCTCCCGTTCGTTATTTTGCCTGCAAGCCCTATATTCGCAATCATAACAACATGCAGTGAGTAGGGTATTCAGTGAATGTTAAGAACTCGAAATGTGAATGTTCAATAACGTACTTAAAATGAGTGGTAAAGTGAATTTGTAAGGATATATTACATGGCATTAACTTCTGTAAGTAGGTGAAATTCAATGTAATTTATTGCATCCCCCGTCATGATGCTAAATGGTCGTGACGTCACATTTTAGTATGACTACGTCAACAAGTTTTTATTTTTATTTCTTCTTAATCTACCTTTATTGCGTCCCAAGAGACACTAAATACTTTTTTTTTTCAAACTTTTTCAAAAGAAAAAAGAAATTCTGTTATTTTCAACACAACACGGTTGAGCGAATAGCACACGCGTCTCGAGAGACGGCTGGCATAAAGCGGCCAAATCACACTTCCCAATGAAATATAAGTGAAGGTTTTCGCACGTTTGAACAAAAAGTCATAACAATTTTTAGGAGGGGTATACAAAATGTCCCAGGAAGATGGCGGCTACACAGGGTTAAAGATTGTATTTTTAGCTAGAAGACCATAACTTTTTTTTATTTCCAAACTTTCTGTGGGCTTTATTTGATTTGCTTTTCACTTCGAAATTTTGTGTGATGACCTCTTGAAAATGTAAAAAAAATATTTGCAACCTTTCTTCGACCCCTTTCGTGATACTCTCTTGCTACGCGGAAGTCGTAAGTTGACCGTAGTGTTACTTCATGAGACAAGTTAGACTACTGCTTCGCATGTGTATCCGAGTCCATTTATTTCGGTCGGTCTCTCATTTTAAATAAGGGGAAATTTTCATGGAACTCCCTGCTCAGCTAGGACATCTCCAGCACCAATTTTTTGGTTTTTAATTTTTTGTTGATTACCTGAATCGGCATCTTTGATCTCGTTATGACTTTCAGCATGTTTCTCTTCATCTTCAACGTCAAAAGAACCTGCTAAAATATTCGTAAACACATTTGTCAATTTGAAAAGCAGGAAACAAGAAAAAAATTTCAAAAACAGAGTTTCCAAAAGCGAATAGCGGAGCAGATAATTGATTAACTAAAAATATTTCAGGGGAGGCAGGACAGTCTCCCGTTCGTTATTTTGCCTGCAAGCCCTATATTCGCAATCATAACAACATGCAGTGAGTAGGGTATTCAGTCAATGTTAAGAACTCGAAATGTGAATGTTCAATAACGTACTTAAAATGAGTGGTAAAGTGAATTTGTAAGGAAATATTACATGGCATTAACTTCTGTAAGTAGGTGAAATTCAATGTAATTTATTGCATCCCCCGTCATGATGCTAAATGGTCGTGACGTCACATTTTAGTATGACTACGTCAACAAGTTTTTATTTTTATTTCTTCTTAATCTACCTTTATTGCGTCCCAAGAGACACTAAATACTTTTTTTTTTCAAACTTTTTCAAAAGAAAAAAGAAATTCTGTTATTTTCAACACAACACGGTTGAGCGAATAGCACACGCGTCTCGAGAGACGGCTGGCATAAAGCGGCCAAATCACACTTCCCAATGAATTATAAGTGAAGGTTTTCGCACGTTTGAACAAAAAGTCATAACAATTTTTAGGAGGGGTATACAAAATGTCCCAGGAAGATGGCGGCTACACAGGGTTAAAGATTGTATTTTTAGCTAGAAGACCATAACTTTTTTTTATTTCCAAACTTTCTGTGGGCTTTATTTGATTTGCTTTTCACTTCGAAATTTTGTGTGATGACCTCTTGAAAATGTAAAAAAAATTTGCAGCCTTTCTTCGACCCCTTTCGTGATACTCTTGCTACGCGGAAGTCGTAAGTTGACCGTACTGTTACTTCATGAGACAAGTTAGACTACTGCTTCGCATGTGTATCCGAGTCCATTTATTTCGGTCGGTCTCTCATTTTAAATAAGGGGAAATTTTCATGGAACTCCCTGCTCAGCTAGGACATCTCCAGCACCAGTTTTTTGTTTTTTTAATTTTTTGTTGATTACCTGAATCGGCATCTTTGATCTCGTTATGACTTTCAGCATGTTTCTCTTCATCTTCAACGTCAAAAGAACCTGCTAAAATATTAGTAAACACATTTGTCAATTTGAAAAGCAGGAAACAAGAAAGAAATTTCAAAAACAGAGTTTCCAAAAGCGAATAGCGGAGCAGATAATTGATTAACTAAAAATATTTCAGGGGAGGCAGGACAGTCTCCCGTTCGTTATTTTGCCTGCAAGCCCTATATTCGCAATCATAACAACATGCAGTGAGTAGGGTATTCAGTCAATGTTAAGAACTCGAAATGTGAATGTTCAATAACGTACTTAAAATGAGTGGTAAAGTGAATTTGTAAGGAAATATTACATGGCATTAACTTCTGTAAGTAGGTGAAATTCAATGTAATTTATTGCATCCCCCGTCATGATGCTAAATGGTCGTGACGTCACATTTTAGTATGACTACGTCAACAAGTTTTTATTTTTATTTCTTCTTAATCTACCTTTATTGCATCCAAAGAGACACTAAAATACTTTTTTTTTCAAACTTTTTTAAAATAAAAAATAAATTCTGTTATTTTCAACACAACACGGTTGAGCGAATAGCACACGCGTCTCGAGAGACGGCTGGCATAAAGCGGCCAAATCACACTTCCCAATGAATTATAAGTGAAGGTTTTCGCACGTTTGAACAAAAAGTCATAACAATTTTTAGGAGGGGTATACAAAATATCCCAGGAAGATGGCGGCTACACAGGGTTAAAGATTGTATTTTTAGCTAGAAGACCATAACTTTTTTTTATTTCCAAACTTTCTGTGGGCTTTATTTGATTTGCTTTTCACTTCGAAATTTTGTGTGATGACCTCTTGAAAATGTAAAAAAAATATTTGCAACCTTTCTTCGACCCCTTTCGTGATACTCTCTTGCTACGCGGAAGTCGTAAGTTGACCGTAGTGTTACTTCATGAGACAAGTTAGACTACTGCTTCGCATGTGTATCCGAGTCCATTCATTTCGGTCGGTCTCTCATTTTAAATAAGGGGAAATTTTCATGGAACTCCCTGCTCAGCTAGGACATCTCCAGCACCAATTTTTTGTTTTTTAATTTTTTGTTGATTACCTGAATCGGCATCTTTGATCTTGTTATGACTTTCAGCATGTTTCTCTTCATCTTCAACGTCAAAAGAACCTGCTAAAATATTAGTAAACACATTTGTCAATTTGAAAAGCAGGAAACAAGAAAGAAATTTCAAAAACAGAGTTTCCAAAAGCGAATAGCGGAGCAGATAATTGATTAACTAAAAATATTTCAGGGGAGGCAGGACAGTCTCCCGTTCGTTATTTTGCCTGCAAGCCCTTTATTCGCAATCATAACAACGTGAGTAGGGTATTCAGTCAATGTTAAGGACTCGAAATGTGAATGTTCAATAACGTACTTAAAATGAGTGGTAAAGTGAATTTGTAAGGAAATATTACATGGCATTAACTTCTGTAAGTAGGTGAAATTCAATGTAATTTATTGCATCCCCCGTCATGATGCTAAATGGTCGTGACGTCACATTTTAGTATGACTACGTCAACAAGTTTTTATTTTTATTTCTTCTTAATCTACCTTTATTGCATCCAAGAGACACTAAAATACTTTTTTTTTTCAAACTTTTTCAAAATAAAAAAAAAATTCTGTTATTTTCAACACAACACGGTTGAGCGAATAGCACACGCGTCTCGAGAGACGGCTGGCATAAAGCGGCCAAATCACACTTCCCAATGAATATAAGTGAAGGTTTTCGCACGTTTGAACAAAAAGTCATAACAATTTTTAGGAGGGGTATACAAAATGTCCCAGGAAGATGGCGGCTACACAGGGTTAAAGATTGTATTTTTAGCTAGAAGACCATAACTTTTTTTTATTTCCAAACTTTCTGTGGGCTTTATTTGATTTGCTTTTCACTTCGAAATTTTGTGTGATGACCTCTTGAAAATGTAAAAAAAATATTTGCAACCTTTCTTCGACCCCTTTCGTGATACTCTCTTGCTACGCGGAAGTCGTAAGTTGACCGTAGTGTTACTTCATGAGACAAGTTAGACTACTGCTTCGCATGTGTATCCGAGTCCATTCATTTCGGTCGGTCTCTCATTTTAAATAAGGGGAAATTTTCATGGAACTCCCTGCTCAGCTAGGACATCTCCAGCACCAATTTTTTGTTTTTTAATTTTTTGTTGATTACCTGAATCGGCATCTTTGATCTTGTTATGACTTTCAGCATGTTTCTCTTCATCTTCAACGTCAAAAGAACCTGCTAAAATATTAGTAAACACATTTGTCAATTCGAAAAGCAGGAAACAAGAAAGAAATTTCAAAAACAGAGTTTCCAAAAGCGAATAGCGGAGCAGATAATTGATTAACTAAAAATATTTCAGGGGAGGCAGGACAGTCTCCCGTTCGTTATTTTGCCTGCAAGCCCTATATTCGCAATCATAACAACGTGAGTAGGGTATTCAGTCAATGTTAAGAACTCGAAATGTGAATGTTCAATAACGTACTTAAAATGAGTGGTAAAGTGAATTTGTAAGGAAATTTTACATGGCATTAACTTCTGTAAGTAGGTGAAATTCAATGTAATTTATTGCATCCCCCGTCATGATGCTAAATGGTCGTGACGTCACATTTTAGTATGACTACGTCAACAAGTTTTTATTTTTATTTCTTCTTAATCTACCTTTATTGCGTCCCAAGAGACACTAAAATACATTCCTAGAAACTCATTGAACAGATCCGGTCAATTTATCCTAAATCCCAACGGTATAGATTTGGTATAATTTTGATTCGGGTTGATCAAGTTTATAGAGAAATCATGGTTTTACTACAAAGAAACATGCTTTGATTATCTTTAAAATGTGTTTCCAGTTTTCAATCTAGTCTGAGTTTAATTTTTGTGACTTACGGTGACAACCCTGCATATATTGTTGCGTTTGACTGGCTTCCCCACCAAAGTAAAGTTATTATCCCAATTTACCTGATTCTTCATTGGCATTCGTATCGAAATCAGGGAGGTTCGATTCTGTTTCGGACATCTGTCGTTTCACCATTTTGATAAGTTAAAGTTAAAGAATAAATAATTCTGTATCTGGGCAATATAAGCAATTACAAGATATTGGGATCAATATCAAAGTTTGTGTGCAATATTGTGATATCGGTATATCTTTGAAAAACACTATGGAATAATATTGTTAAAGGAGAAAAAGAGTTTCTACGACAAAGTACTTTTTTCATGCGACTGCTCTGCTTTTCTATAAGGTGACATCAGCTAATTTCCAATTCCGGTCTGATTTTAACATCGTGGCTTTTATTTATAAATTGCAGTTTTTATGTCATCAAATTATTTTTATAAGCTCGCTCTATTTTTTAAACAAATTAGGTAATGTCGTCTTATGTGTAATATACAGTCCATGCATCCATCTGAAACAAATACCTAGCTAACTAATCCCATACCCGACATGGACTGGTAATCGGACGAGCGGTCGTGGTTCGGCATATCAGCTTTCCTCTCCTTCATGATAAAAACCCCATCACCTATTTGACAGGAGCGAGCATGTCTTCATATTTGTATTCTTGACGCTGATGCGGTATTTTGTAATTTGCAGAAAATATTAGGGACTATCTTAGTTCAAGAATATAAAAATAAAACAAACTAATACGCGCATGTATCATACATTATATAAATCTCTATTTTAATATTCCCGCATCACTTTCATTTTCTCACTAATAAGTAACCATAAATGCGAAAGAAGTTTCGTAATAAAGCACGGTAATTGAAGGCAATTGGTTTCAATTGCCTCTATGATACTCGGGTCACATACGAGCCAAGCTTTCCCTTCGCGTGTTCATGGACTATTTCCGGAATAACATTATTAGAAATGAGAAATTTTAATGAAGCACTGGTATGAATTTACATTTTAATATTCACGCTTTCATTTTCTCGCCAATAAGTGTCTAGAATGCGTAAGAAATTTTGTAATAAAGGGCGGTAATTGAAGGCAATCGGGTAATCGGAGGGTGGCAGACAATGCAATAATTTATTTTACTTATTTTAAGAAATATTCGAATTTGAAATTAAAAGAACTTAAACCTAGAATTTCAGTGGAAATGAAAGTTGGAATTTAAGCGGACCAGGGTTTACTTTTTAGTTTGACAACAGACTTTTTTATTATTAACATCAATGTTTTTGGTAAAAAATAGGTGCGTGTGCTTCGTGATGCAAATTATAGAATACAGACTTACATGTGGCTGAAAATGTTTCTAAAGATCCTTATTTGAAATAACCTCCACATGTTTGAACACTTAAAATTACAAAACATCGATGCGCATTTTTATGTCGTTGAAACCGCATATATTTGACTCATATTATGTTTCATCAGAGTCTGAAGTATTGGTGCCTCTAAGTTTAATTTAATTAATCGAGAGGAGTTATTTTGAAGTTTTTCACTGGCGGGCGACAGAAAGTTGTCAAAAGACAAAAATGTAAAATTTGGAAACACACAAAACAACTCTCTAGTGCTCATAAACCTACAAACCGGTTTCCGAACGACCTTGCCATTCGGATCAAAACAAAAGAAACATTTTAAGCAAAGCGGTCCAAAATCCCGAAGAAATCGTACCAAGATGACGCACAATCTGAACATAGTATTGTACCAGGTTGGGGTTGTTCAGGTTGTACGTCATCTTGGTTCAAATGCTTCCAGAGCGCCCAAAACTCTGCTAACAGCAAGGGAAGGTAACAAACAAAACGAACAAACAAAAAAATGCCATTGACAGTGAATTGCAGCTATTCTTGCAGTTTGTCCAATAATTAATAAACTAGTCGATCTTTCAGCAAAAAAGTCTGCAAATCTAACTTTATGAAAAATTATTAAAACTCAAAAATATTCCTTCCAACGGCCACTCCCTAAACGTAAACTCCCAAATACTGAACAAATCGCTGTGCGATGAGTTTAATATCAGCTGAAATTGAATGAAACGAAACTGTATTTCGTGATCTATCTTCGGACAGTAATTGAGCTCGTTTATGCGAGAGTTATTAAGGGAATGGACTCTCATCGGGAAATGAGTTTGCGGTCGAATCGCTTGTGGAGTCAAGATACATTTACTGTTTTCCCAGCAGTCTGCATAAGGTTCTGTTCAATATATTACACGGTTTGTTTCTTATGGACATTTGGGATTTATTTTCTATCTATTAGTAGTTCTCAAACAATGAGGCGTGCCCCACATGGGGAGGGGGGCTTAGATAATTTTTTAAGCCGGCGTGAAGCTATTTAATAATATAATTATTTGTTAGATTTGATCTTGCACGTTCCTTTTTATATAATTTCATTTTGGATTCTGACGTTTACGTTCCATCTTATATATTCTCAATGTGTATTAAAAAACTACTTACGCTATGCTATATATATGTTAGTTGTAGCTTATTGTTAGCTAGCTATGAAATGGGTGTGCCGCGAGACTTGACAAATTCTAAGTAGGCGGCGCGGCATTTGAGAACCACTGATCTATATATTTGGTGTAATGTGATAAGCCAATTGATCTCGGTTCTGCATGTAGCTATGCTATTACCATAGTCAGAGCTTGTTTAACCATTAATCAAAATAAGCAGGTCTCATGGCGCCATAGGACATCTTAAAAACCTCCTTAGGCAATTTTTCAATAGTGCTCCAAGATTTAGCAAAACAAATCGAGTGGTAAGACGACACGGACTTCAATATTAGCCCATTTAAAATAAAGTTCTCGAGTATCCTCTCAAATTAAGCCAATTTCAACATTTTTTCGTGAGATGTTTTATGAATTTAGGAACGGTAAGCCTAAAATAGGACGACCAGATATACAAGCGATATAGTCAAATTGATGAACTGTTCTCCAGTATTAGTATTCCTTCACCGACAGTCCAAAATTTGGTTCGCGTATTCACAACTCAAATTATCTTATGCGTCTTGTCGACGATATTCACACATCCAACAGGTAAAGTAGCGCACACGCAATTGCCATATGAACAAGGGATGCATCTGTTTCGAATCAACACAGTATGTTTTAATTAATTAATTTTTCCGAGGTAATTAGCCTCGTCGCGAGCTGTCAGGCATGACGTTGTTAAGCTAGAATCTGATCCACTTGACTCCCACTAGTAGCGCTAGCTCAGGGGAAGCGTAGAAACCTTGTCAAACATGAGGCCAGGCTTGAGGGTGGGTTCGAACCCCATGGAGTAGACCGAGTTGTAAAGAAGAACCATTAAACGAGACAGGTCGAGGGAAACATGTGGTAGAAAGGCGAGCGAGAGAAACAGCAGCAAAATAAGATGGGGTAATCTGAGGAGCCGCGAGACGTCAAGGGAAAGATAAAGGCCGGGCGGAAGCACGGAGATGCAAGGTGGTCGAAAATTAGCCAGAGAAAAAAGAAGCCGAATGAAAATAGGAATAAATCAGCGGGAACCGAAAAAAAAGTAGGATTAGGATGAATTTAAAATAAGTACGGGTAAAAAATAGTTAAAAGCGAGAGCCGTTCAACGAATGAAAATTAAAAGACCGCCAAAGACAGATGAAGAATAAAAACGGGTCAAAAAATCTAAAATGGGCAAACAAGCCAATTTCGAACGCAAAGTTTTGTAATAATAAGTTCTTCAAATTTTCTGCGATCGGGTGTTGATAATTTCATTCTGTGCAGACGGGCCTGGCTTCAAATTTTTAAGACCAAAATCTTTCTGTTTAGGTAGGCCTTGCTTTCCCTTGGGTGAGTTAACGGGGATATATATAAATTAATCCTATATTCCTAACTTGCGATGCTGCTTGTGTAAGACTTGGGGCCCGTTCACACCAACGCAATGCGTTGCGTTAGTTTTCTACGCAGGCGCAAACGCAGTGCGTTGAACTTACAACTTAGCTAGCTACTTTCGAGATAGTCGACTTTTGTGAACTATTCACAGGAGATTCGAAAATTGAGTTATTCCATTATTTTACAATGAGTCAATACTAAGAATTGTAAGCAGTTAATATACAATATTTGCTGTTATTTCGCTTATATGTATGGTTGGTGGGATGTATTTCTATCAGATGAGGGTGAGAAGATGAGTGTTTTGTCGGGCGTTGATCTCCACTGCTATAAGTGCTCTGTACGGGGCCTCAGTGCTCCGCGAGCTATTCGTTCACTTAAAAAACCTGTTAATTTTGTATCTGTGAAGAAGCGTTGACGTCACTAATAAAATTTGACGACGGTGGTGTCGAAATGTGGTAGTGATTTAAATATAACATTATCTATGACTAAGGGCGCAGCAGCCATGGTTTTATTAAAAGGTAGGGGGTTCAGAATAGAAAGTTCCCGAGCAACACTCATCGCTCAATCCATGGCCGACCCGAAGATTTAAAATGTCTTGTCATATGAATTCAATTGTGTTCATGGTTGCTCGCCTTTGAGTTGACAAATATACTACGGCAACCATGAAATACTTGTTGAACCGTCTACTAGCAAGGAATGGAATAAAATCGTATTTTTGAGTTGCTCTTTCAGCACTTAGGATTATCGCAATGTTTCGTTGTTAAGGGAGAGTTTGCAGTTATGAAGCCAATTATATTTGATACCTTCATATCGAATCTGGTCTATGCATGAATGTAGCAGTGATTTCTAGATGCAGTGATGGGAAAAATATCGGCCGACACAGTAAAATGATCAAACTTTCATTGAAGGGTTTAGATCAGGGGTCGGCAAACTATCGCCCGCGGGCCGGATCCGGCCCGCGATGCTTCTCTGAATTATATTTACAAAACAGCTTTAATGACGAATATATTTTTTACGCGACAAAATTTGTTTTGAGAAACTAAATTATACTATATCCTAACAAGTATATAATTCACAATCACTCGTTAATAAGCCTATAATTGATTATAATTAGAGAAATGGCAACAGAACGTAATAAAGTTGATGCTGAGAGCAAATGGTTAAATGACGCTGAAAATATTCAAATGATCAGTCTTCGCGCACTGCTTGAAATTTCTGTGTGAAAAATGTGATTCATTGGCCATTCCTTTGGTTTTTAACTTTCTAAAATACGTGCGGCCCGCCAATGACTTGCAACCTTCAATATTGACCCGTAAACGACAAAAGTTTGCCGACCTCTGGTTTAGACTTTAGAGCCGTGAGGTTATACATTCATCCCAACTCAAACCCTCGACCTACTGCCCTATCTCCCTCCACTTTCCTATTCTCGATCCGCTGCCCTGTCTCCCTCGCCTTGGCCAACCTAAATTTAAAACGTTTATTGTTACGTCAAATTCTGCACTTATGCTGATTGGCCAATGTTACGGCAGTAAATAAGGAAGTCGAAAATAGGGGGGAAATCCATAATTATAATTAGAGTTTTATATAGTTGTTATAGCTAAATTCGGTACACAGAGGCGTTGCTTATATTTATGGTAAACTTAAATTGTTTCGCGACCCAGCGTGGAGAGCTCCGCGACCCAAACATGGGTCGCGACCCCGTATTTGCGGACCCCTGGTGTGTCCAATGTTTTGGTAGCCAGATTTTCCCTATAAAAAATGCAATGCGTAAAATTGATATGAGGTCCAATTTGTGATACTCTTGCTAAAAACCTTTGTTTTTCCTCCCCATCCCTATCAGTACAAATGCTAATACACCGCTCCCATGATAATACATCATTCTGTAGTCTCGTCGCCACTGCTGCGAATATGTCTTGACCAGTGCATGTTCCAGAAAGCGCCAAGCACATGAGTAACTTATATACCTAACAAACACAATCAACAGCGCTTAGCCAAACGTATCCGTGAATTCATCCAATTGCAAAGCGTATTTTCCTCCTTTGACTCTATCAATCAATTGGCACCTAATATCTTGACCCATTTCGCTGATACGTCGACGAATGGTATCTACAGACATTGGTATTTCTTTCATTTCCTTAGTTACCTTGTCTCCATTCATAATTTGACTAATTGCAATAGTTTTGATTAGTGTTTCTCCATTGGTGTATGGTTTTTTATCTTTTGCGATTAAATATGCCACTTCATACAATGCCTTTTGAGATTTTTCTAAGCTTGTGAGAAACTTTGGCATTGTTTTTATTTCGCCTAACAACTCTTTTTCTGATCGGCGGAAAAATGTATTGGTTTGTCAATGTATTCTGGATGCTTTGCTGTCAGACGGCGTTTCAATCCCACTGCTTTCAGGCTCTCGTTGGCAAGAACACCGGAACAAACAACACATTGAGGACGTGACTCATCATTTATAAGAGGAATACACGTGGAACCAAGCTTTATAAATTCTTCGCTGTACTTCCGCTTATAAGGATGGTTTGAGTGATGTATTTAAATCCGATGAGGGTGAGGAGATGAGTCTTTTGTTGGGTGTTGATCCTCACTGCTTGAAGACGCAAAGATGTCTGAAGGTGCATGCGGTGTTCTGTTTTCACTTAATTTCTCCGTTGTATCTTCCGTTCGCGACTGTTTTGGAGTATTCTTCAGTAACCAGTTTGTCAACATTATTTGTGACTAAAACTACCTTTAAAATTCTTAACCCCGCTAAATTTTGAATTTAATCAAGAATATCTTACAATAACAAATGTAACAGCACCCTAACTATTTAATTTAGAAGGAACAAATCTCATCATCTGTCTTTATCAAGCAATTCCACACGACTACTGCTAACCTCGCATTGTTACCAAACATACAATTGTGTGAGATAGTAGGATAATACCAATTATCAATGCAAACATCTACGTAATGAATGTTTCCCCGATTTTCGATCCCGGTAAAATTCTTCCGCTTTATACTCTACCATTGCAAAATTATTGGTTCTTATTTCAATAATGGTTTTGCGAGTTCGCGCCTATAAACCGGTTTATATGTTTCAAACTATCATTTTAATGTTCAATACATTCAACAACCTTTCATTTACATGTGCCTATAAAAAAGTTTGGCCTAGTCTATCACAGCTATTTCTAGATTAATTTTTGATTACTGCATTTAAAATAAAACTCCGACAGAGCAAAATTATTATTGAGTTATTTGATTAGGACTTATATTTACCAAAACACAATTAAAAACTAACAAACAACACACGAAAACCGCCAAAACGAGTTGATATTCACAACCACGAAAGACTGATGGCAAAAGTATCTGAGCGCTTCTGAAACGTTTATTGTTACTTCAATTTTGCACTTATTCTGATTGGCCAATGTTACGGCAGTATATATGGAAGTTTATACACGGGGAAACATTCATTATTATAATCAGAGATTTATAAAGTTGTTACATAAAAACGCTACACAGACGTGATGCTCATATTTATGGAAAATTTAAATTGTTTCGCGACCCAGAGCGGAGGGCTTCGCGACCCAACCCCGAAGTTGCAGACCCCTGTTTTAGTGGATGTTCCAAATTCCTGTACATCTATGATACCCATTGCCTGAAAGAGGGTCTGCGAATTATTGACCCATGACAATCCTTGTTTTTGATGACCCACCAGGAATGTATACAAAGACATATTGAAATTTCAAAGGCAAAAGTGCTTTAATCTTGTTTTAAAGTTTATTTATTGCTATTAAAATCGGGCTTTATTTAATCTAACAATCAGTGGACTATTATAGAAGTTCCGTTATACGGACATGCAGCTACTGGCATCAAAACTATTACTAGTTCTTTTCATTTTTCAAAACGTGTCTTGTAAAAGGGCACCCTTTACCTAGGTACATGAACCAAGCAGAATATTTTTGTGAGTAAAATCGCAATGTGAATTTATCGATACCATATATTGTTTTGGCTTTCACAGATGTATTAAATGAATTACTGGTTAAAAAAAAAACACAAACCTGGTTAAGATATATTGAGATCTCACTTCGTAACAAAATTGAAATTGGGAAGAAACTTTATGGACACCCTGAGCTTGCAAAACAAATCGACCAACCCTCACTACTACAGAAATCTGAGATGAGAATGGAGCTGGATAGAAGCGACTTAAAGCGTTTGCAACTCGATTAATAATATAATTCTCTCAAGGGTGAATTACTTTCCAAACTCTTCCAAAACTATTTACGGTGTCATTATGAACATTTTCCAGACATTTATGTGTAAAGCTAAATGCTACGCATAACCAGCGGGGATCATAACACTTGCAAAACAAAAAATCAAGCGAAAGCTTTCTAACAATGCAAATTTGAAAAAAATGGTGAAACCCACCGTCAGGGGAGGGCCACATGGTCAGCCGTCTGGGCAGCGCGTTGTAAGGGGAAGCAGATATATGAGTTTGAACTTATACATGTGAGTTTGTTAAACAGTTTGATTTTATTAATAATAATACGAACATTTCACTCTTACTTGAAAATGTTTTTACCTTACATCGAGGTACAGAGAAAAACAGTATTTGAATCCCTGATTATGCCATTTCGGAAGGAGTTTCAAAAAAATCACAAAAACAAAAGTTCTAAAATCAAAGTATTTGCATTTTAATCTGTAACTAACTAAATTTTAATCTAAACAAAGCAATGTATTACTAAAATACCATATATTTGACATTTTAAATTTTCAATCCTAGGCAGAGTTTTCACTTATTCACCAATAAAATGAAAAGCAATCGAACAATGGCATTTCTGCTGTCTCCATAATGAATTGCCCAATTGTATAAATCGTTCCATCAAGAATATATTCAATGTTTTGTAAAAATACGTTTGAACCATTCAACAAGCAGTCAGTCCATGGTTAATATTGATCCAATGAAAAGCAGTTAAAGTTAATAAAGCGAATGTTTTATAAATGCCAAAATAGGTACAGCAAGTGAGTTTTAGGCATCGACTGTTAAATTTCATTGATAATATGTAGGCATGATTTTTGACTTTTATATCTGACAAAGTGCAGCATTTAGCTTGATCGAATAATGCCAGTTCCTCATTCCTTGGAAACTTTCGTTTGGATCTTTGGCTACGTTGATGTACACATTTCTACAAAAGGTGGTCTTCTTCGGATATCCGTTTTCCCATTGAGTGAATGAACCATTTTTTCCAAATGTGTTTGTCTGTAACAAAAATATGACATGAAAATCCTGATAAAACAAGAAAACAATTCTCCAAATGTATGGACACAAGGCCAAACGAAGTAGTATCAAATCTTCCACAGTACCTGTAGTATTCCATTATCTTTTAATTCTGATAGATAAATACCATTATTATTTAATTTTAGCAATTAAAAAAAGTCATAGCTTTTTAGTGACAACAACAATCTTTAACCAATTGGCCCAGTAGTTGATAAGAAAAGAATTTTTTCTGAAAACAACAAAAATACTAACAACATCAACAATTTAAGAAAACGATCCATATGTACATTTCGTGTCCAATAAAACAAATTGAGAAAAACTTTAATGTATGCTTTCCAAATATATAAACAATTCAGCTGTATAACTTGGTATTTCGTGTTAAGAATTAAATTATCGATCATAAACAAATCCAATACAAATAAATAGTTCAATAACAGTGAACAACAAAAACGCGAACGAATGAATATCACCCCGATAATTTGGTATCATTTTTGTTGAGTTTTTATCAAATACTGATATTCGTTATAATTTAATACAATTACTGCCCTACAAGGCTTTCAATCGCCTGTACTTTATCAAAACTGTAACACTATAAATACAAGAAAAGCGAAAAAACACTGAGGCATGTAATCCTCCGTAGTATCGGTACGGTGCCGTAGTCTTCCCGAATTGATTGACCATCAGATCGTCCTAAATGAGCGACCGCCACATGGTGCGTAAGTTTTGATTTTGATGACGTCATTGCATCGAACCCCACAGAACCTTTTAAACTAAATAAATAGTAAGTAATGGTTTCCTAGAAAATTTTTAATTTTTAAGCCACTGAAAATTTCAAAGCAGTCGGTCCAGTAGTAGGAGAAACTCGATAATTTTTACAATGAGAAAAGTATGCGAAAACGATTATTGTACCATTTCGTGTCCAATAAATAACCAGTTCTCACCGTGATATCATATGTAAGGCCGGTCCAGAACGATACCTTCCCGTTCTGGGGAAGCCCGTTGCGTATCATTTTGTTAATCGCGTCAAATTCTTCCTCATTCCTCATAATGGGAAGAGTCGATCCGTGTTGTATACAGAAATCCACTGCACCCGTGAATGTCATAATTGATGCACGAAGTTTCACAATCCAGAATATCACATCGTCGTCGGCAATCCATTTTCCTAAAATAGAATGAAGATGTTTAATTTTACCCGTGGTAGCACTGTTTATTTGAACCAAAATTTCTTGGTAAATGTTAAGTTAGAGACAATGACTCTGGAGAATGAATAGAATGAAGAAGAAATGAAGAAATAGAATGAAGATGTTTAATTTTACACTTGGTAGCGCTGTTTATTTGTATCATAATTTCCTGGTAAATGTATTAAGTCAGCGACAATGGTTAGAATCAGGCTATGAATTTTTTTATGCGACATTTGCTCACGTCTTTCGCTATGAACAAAGCTTCATACAACCAGTCGTTGTGGGGGCTATCGAAGACTACCGGAGGTTCTGATATTTGTAATTGCCAAGTTAAACCGTAAGAGCTGCTGGATCCGGCCAGAGACTATCGGTGGTTCTGAAATTTTTAACAGCTAGTTAGTCCGTTTTTCAATTGGTAAGTTAGACCGTAAGTTAGTTGGACTGGTCGGATATTGGCTCATGTAATGTCTTGATTTTCAGCAAACCCGTTTTTCTATTTTTTTTTTTTGCTCCAGATGTTAGGCGACCGCAGCATATGATTAATGTAGCCTACACAGCAGCTGACGATTATATAGCATTATATTTGAAGTTCCGGAATTTAATGTAAATGCAGCTTACGTATTCATTTCCGAAAATGTGGAGTATCTTGTTAGTCCAAAGAGAACCCATTATTTATTTCAAATCACATACATTGCATCGATTCGAAGGTTTGAAGATAATCAAGTCAATCATGGTTACTTTCAATAATATTATTGCCAGGTTGTATAGTTCTGTACAGACTTTTCTATTGTTGCGTATTGTTAGTGACTGATAATTTTAAGTTATAAGAAGTGTGACATCTGCTAGTCGATCAGGGGGTTCGCACGAACCTGTTCTTGGTATGTCATGATAATCAAAAGCAAAGCTCGTCACGTTAATGCAGCTTACGAAATCAATACCAATCTATAGTACAAACCTAGAGTATAACCAGAGACGATTGAGTTCAGTTTTTTCGAAAAAGGCTCAAATTTTTCCAAAATTTGGGATTCATTCTTTTGGTTGGCGATCATCAGTTTTTGGTCTTCAATTATTGCGTTAAGTTTTTCTATGTCGTTGGTCTGGTCTTTCGAGTATTGATCTTTGTTTGATGATGCTGTAGAAATGAGATTTTGTATTAAAAACCTAGCTGACGTCCATGGGTATATTTAATATTTCCGAAATATTATGGTTTCTATGGCAACTAATCGTTTAGAGTTCCGTTCGGATTCAAATAATTTTATTATTACATATGTACATGCCTTTGTTTTTCCCTTCCATTAATGCAAAAACGTCAGATTTGAGAAAATATCCCCGCTCGCCACTAAATATCCAGTATAAGCTCGGTTTTGGGAATAATTTTAATTTCCAGCGCAACCTGCATTCATCCGAACCCCAACTGTATAATTACTACTTCTTTTATTTTGATGGGTGGAACAGGCGTTTTTTTAGCGGGGGCTTTGTAAAAAATATCCAAACTCGAATAGACCACAATTCATACTAAAGAATTAATCTTACTTATTGTCCATCCAATCGTTAATCCAACTACGAAGACTATCAGTACTGGAATAGCAAATGCCAGCTTCGATGTTCGTTCGCCTAGTAACAAAAGTTGAAAAAAATTTGTGAGATGGAAAACCACGAATTGTTAATATCAAAAGATTTCTAAGAAATTTTAATTCAATAAAAAATTACGAAAGTAATCACAAATAGGCTTTATCAAACTTGTATATCGAGCTTCAGATCTTTATACATAGTAGAATGGAAACTTTACAAAAAAAGTTATGAAGTCGGTATATCTGGGTGGTCCAAACCCAGGCCGCGGGCCACATGTGGCCCGCCGCTTCATTATCGGTGGCCCGCGTCACATTCGGAGAGTATTCAAATAATCTCGTTTTCACAGCCTAAATTGCAAGGAATTCCCAGTAATTTATCCGACTCTCCGAGTTGATTTTACCTTAATTCCAAGTGAAACCGACCCGCTTTTCCCTGTAGAAAGTACACGACTTGCATGTATACTTGACATGGATGTTCGTGTAGAAGCGTGATAAATTTCCCTGTATATGCAGTTACAGGGAATTCCGTAGCAGCAATTCAAACTTGGAATTACGTGTATTCTCTAAGTAACACCCAATCTTATGACAGATTAACTAAAAACAAACTTAGAGAAGTTTATTCTCAAAAAACAAATCACCAAAAA